AAAGGATTTTACAATCAAGAGTTGGAATGTCGAAATAATATGTAAACCATATGAGAAGATCTAAGGGTTCTTACGGGATTAGTTTCTTTAAAGAAAAGATGTCATAATGGTTCGGAGGCTACTTGGGAACTTGATAAGGGGACGAGATTGAGATGCTCTCATTTATTTGCATAGGGCAAATTTCGAGGACGGAATTTTGTTAAGGGGGAAAGTTTGTAATAACCAAAAAAAATGGAAAGAAATTGGTAGTCGTTAAATTTCAAGGACTTGTAGTGTAAATGCAATCAAAGTGAAGGGTTTAGACCCTAAAATTGAATGCATATTTAATGATAGAAAACTCAATGGTCATGAAACCTATGACCATTAATTATGGCTTATCGTTTCATATTCCGTGAAACCGTCGTTGGGGCTTAATATAAAATGGGAGTTTGTAGCTTTATGTATGGTTTGGGGTCAAGAAGGAGAACTATTGTGAGAAAAGGCGACAGTGGACGCTGTAATGAGAGTTGATGGTGCTCTACATCGTAGCTAGTTTGGTATCAATCGGGGAGACGTTAGCCACTTCAAGGATCGGTTTGGGCTACACCATATATTGTGAGTTACACGTGATTTATTTTTAAAATGGTTGCATGCCTTATTTTTGATATGCTATATATGCGTGAAAAGTTCAATATTTTTATAATATGTGTTTTGAGTATTTGTGTGTCAATGGGGATGTACTACAATATGATTTTGTAAAGACAAGCATGCTTTGTGAGCTTGTTTAAGCCGTAAGTGCGACATGCTGTGTGAGTTCACTAGGTAATGTTGTGTGAGGTAAACATCTCCCATGACCCCGTTGCTTTGTGACGTAGACACGCACTATAATATCTTTATTTTGTGAAAAGTATTATTCTCATCAAGGCATGCTAAATTTATAAAGCTTCGTGAAAATTGTTTATTGTAAAAGTTGTTCTTCGTGAATGAAAACTGTGGATTCACTGGGCCTGAGGCTCACCCAAAACTCTTTTAACTTTTTCACCCAGACGGCTATTAGACTGGAAAGAAAATTAGGATTAAGAAAGATATATTAGCACCAAAGAATGATATGTGCAGATCAATGCGTTGTTATATAGAACAAAATTATGTTCCTCAAGATTGTAATTTTAGATGATGATATAAATTGTAAGATTAGAAATTTTATATCCGCTGCAATGTAAGTGTTTGATCTTGGGATACTCATTATGACATATTGAAGTATTCGAAATTTTGGGATGTTACAAATGGTATCAGAGCCGATCTTTGTACCATCGGTATGGTGGGACAAACCTCATCGGGTATGATGAGTCTTCGAGAGGGGGTGTTTGTAACATCTTAGGCAAATCCCACATTGCCGATGACAAGGAGGAAGATTATGGATAAGTCTGACGAGGACGTCAGGAGTTTAAGTAGGGTAGTTTGTAACAACTCATCCCACATAGATATCAGGTGAAAATTGTTAGCTCCTTATAAGTCTCAAGTAGTGGCTACCAATAACTTCCACCATGGTTTTAAGTTGGATTCGAAGTTATTGGGCTAGTTCGTTGCTTTGGGTTTGGGGTGTTACAGGTACGAGCCAGAGTTGAGGTAAATCCTCAAATTCAAGATACAAACAGTAGATAGGGTGACATAAAGATGTTCTTGACCTGTAAACCCCCAACGTTTTCTGGGGAAAGAGATCCAGTTAAAGCAATGTGTTGGTTGAAGGAGATTGAATCTGTGTTCAATACCAACAAATGTCCAGAAGAAGATAAGGTTAGATTTGTTGTACCGATGTTCAAATCTAATGTTTTATATTGGTGGGATGTAGAATCATTAGCCCCACCGGATATTTTGCGAACTATGCCTTGGTCAGGATTTGTAGATAGATTTAAAGAACAATTCTGTCCAAAGACGGCTATTAGACAAATGGAGGAAGACTTTTTGAAACTAGAACAGGGCAATCGGACAGTACGAGAATATACCGAAAGATTTATTGAACATTCTTGGTTTGCAGAACAATATATCTTTTTTGAAGCTAGAGAGGTTGAGAGGTATGTCTGGGGTTTAAAACCCTTAATACGGGAATTTGTAATTGCTACGAGTCATGCTACTTTTCTATTAGCAGTAGATGCAGCTGAAACAACTGAGAAACAAGAATAGGCAAGAAGAAGAGAAAGTGGTTGAAAAGAGAAAGTGAGAAGGGTTTTCGACCGGTTTTCGAGGGCCAAAGTCTGCAAAAATAGAGAATTGTATGTGTATATGTTTGTATACATGTATCTACTTATGTACGTATAACAACCCCTTCTTTTACATTTCTAGTGTATTATTTACATCCTAAGAACATCCACATATAGGTACGTGATGCATTTTTCCAGAAGATTCTTACAACACAGGTTTGTCCAATCACAACTTCTTACTAAAAACCCAACTTCATTTCTCGTTTCGTGTTCCATTCTTGTTTTTAATTATTATGTTACATTTTGTTTTAATAAATCCATAACGTAAAAATATATAATTAATATTGATGTTAAACTTGTAAATTAATAATTTTAAAATTATGTATTTATTAATTTTGAAGCATTTATTATTTACTCGGTAGTTTTTTTTACTAAGT